CCTGGTATGCCCGAGGTGGGGGTCTCGAATTCTTGTGTCATATTGGATGAGATCATGAATTTACACTGTTTCCTGTCAACAGCTCAGAATAGAATACTTATTCTGTTGAATTATTGCAAATCTTGTAAGAATTGAAATTATAAAATAAACTATTGTTATTGACAAAACTGAAAATTTATATATGTATATGCAGGCTTCTAGCCAGCAGACACCCTACCACGTCTGTATAAAAATTGATTTTAAACAAGCCATTACAAAAATGACATAAAAGTTGCTTTGTATTCTGAAATTGAACTGGAAAATGTTTCATATTTTTAATGTGGAAATGTGTAGTAATATATTGGTAAATCAGAATTTTAACCCCACCTCCCTTACCATCACTCAGGTATACATCCTGTTGTGGTGGAGATTTAGATTGGACACCTGGATAGATACTAGAAAGGGGGGGGGAGACAACGAACTTCCTGATGTGAAATTGTAAGAAATCTAAAAATTGACCAGTGATAACTTGACATTATGTAAGGGAGTCAAATTTGCTAACACTACCCTCCAATCATTGGCTATCCCATTCGGCCTCAAATGATTTGGCCCCTATCTGAAACAGAAGGCGCACTTGCATGTAGAAAATATATTGGAATGCAGAAAATATTGTTATACTTTAATCTGAACACAAAAATTTCCCTGAAACAATTAACATACATTGGGCCATACAGTCATACACATAGTTTTGACTGTCAGATGTATAAAGCAGCACAGTATACATAGTGAGTTGCATTCATGGCAAATTATTTTACATAATTATTTTTCGTCATTTGCCACGCATGTAATCGGTGAAGGATTCAGGATCATTCGGCATGGAAATAACGTTTTAAACGTGCTATATAAAACGGTGTTCAATATTCATACTACATGATGAGCATGTGGCCAAACAAACACCTTGTGCTTTTTTGCTCAAATTTACGCACGCATGATTTTGTATACATAATATAGATTTAAATCTAGCAATTCAAATCCAAAACTCATGGGGTCATGCATGACATCCTATCCATAATTTATATTTTCTTGAAATGTTAGGTGATTCATTGTTATTGCCGTTGTTGTATTAAACCCAGTAAACAGACACACACCGCCGTTTAGACATGTCACATGTCGTTCTTGTTCCTTTTATAAATATACAACAAACGATAGACGATAAAGCTTCGAATTACTTCTCTTTAATTTCCAGTCCGGCTTTGTTCAGTCTTTGAAGTGACTTTACAAGCGCGTGTTGAAACAGGTCATCTGTACAAGAACCCATGATGTTTCGAATCACAGCAACCACTTCGAGCACATTTCGACTCGATCATGTTTACATCGTACATGAAAATTGATACATATGTAATACGAGACCGAAATATGGTTGTATTTTGACGAATATTAACGATATAACGAAATATAAAACTCCAATATGTATAATTCCATTAGGTGGTCTGCACATATTCCCTTGATGTTGGAAAATACATCGAAACAAAAGAAAAATCCAATATTATCTGCTCACCAACACGTCTCCACTCCTCAGTAAAAATTAGTGCATAGTCAGCATTTTTAGCTCGCAGCAGAGCACGTTTACTTCCAGAAAACACCAGAATTTGTGGTGTTCCGGTTTGGCTTGTCCCAGGGCTTACGGCAACGCAGGCAGCCGAGAAGCCCTGGGAACGAGGATGTATCGGAACATAAAAAGACTTGTGAGATATTTATTTAACTTACTTAGATTCAAGATCTGAAGGTCAATAAATATTTTTTCAGTGTGAGAAGTGTAGGACTGGGATGTCATTAGTCGAACTATTTTCTTTTGAATATTGATTAGTTTTTGAATTCGCTTTTTGTATGTACTGCTCCATATTAAATTGCCATAGATTAAATAAGGATAGACCAAAGCATAGTAAATTAGTTTTAAAGTTTACTACCAATAATTCCTGCAGACTTTACTATCTTTTTGGCTACTGAATCAATATGGTCATTCCATGATAAATATTCATCGATAACTACTCCTAGAAAGGTCGTACTTTTGACATGTTTGATACCATCATTATTGATAGTCAATGTTACTACGTGTTTTTGTTTCTTTTTTGAGGATCGAAATAAAATAAATTTAGTTTTTGATGTGTTGATAGATAGTTTGTTTGTGTTCAGCCATTCTGCTATCTTGTCCACTTCCGTCTGAAGAATTTTATTTAGTGTTTTGAGGCATGAGTGACTATAAAATCTGTTTGTATCATCAGCAAACAATATCATTGATGCTATATCGCTGCAATTTTGAATATCATTTGTATAGAGAATAAAAAGTAGCGGCCCTAGTATTGAACCTTGTGGGACCCCAGTTTGCACCATCATTTCGGTTGACATTACTTGTTTATATTTTACAATTTGTTTCCTGTTTGTGAGGTAATTTTCAAACCAAAGTTTTGCTATTCCGCGAATTCCATAATACCCTAATTTACTTATCAGAATCTTGTGATCAATGGTATCAAAAGCTTTTGACAAATCAAGGAAAATACCAACGGTGTAGTTTCCCTGATCAATTTCTTTTGTAATTTTGTTAACAAGTTCGATTATTGCAAGTTCAGTTGATCTGTTTTTTCTGAACCCATATTGATGTTCAGACAACATTTTATTCTTTTCAACATAATTTATTAATCGTTTATACATGAGTTTTTCAAGTATTTTAGCAAAACAAGTTAAAACTGATATTGGTCTGTAGTTTTCAAATTTATTTTCTTCGTTTGATTTAAATATAGGTGTTACTAGGGACGTTTTTATCTGTACGTTCAGGGATGATACCTGTAGTAAATGTTAAATTGAATAGGCTATATGTATATAAGTGGTTTTGATATTACTTTACCTACCTGTTTAATTATTTTCGCATTGAAACCATCATATCCTGGGCTTTTATTTGAATTTAAATCATGTATTTCATTTTCCACCTCTATTTCCGTTATAGGATCAAGAAACATACTATTTAAATAATTACCAGTTAAATATTTGCTAAAATTTGACTTACGTGTATGCGTAATTTCCTTCGCTAGGTTGGGGCCGATGTTAATAAAGTAGTTGTTGAATTTATTGGCGATTTCCTTTGGGTTTATAATAGAATCTGTTGAATTAGAGTCAATAAATTCATTTGAGATTTCCTTTTTCTTTGTTGTTTTTCTGTTTATTATCTCATTTAGAGTTTTCCACATCGTTTTGGAATCTTGCCTATATTTAATTAATTCTTGTTCATAATAATATTTTTTGGGTAATCTAATTACATGACTTAGTTTATTTTTATATTATTTGTATACATTCTCATTTATTTTACTTGAATCGGATAAGTATTTTTTGTATAGTTTATTTTTGTTTTTGATTGATTTTAAAATGTCAATTTGTCATCCATGGACTTCTATGTTTATTAATGTTCATTTTTAGTTTTGCTCTTTTTATCGGAAATTTTTTTTCATAACTACTCGTGAATAACATTGAAAACTGATTAAAGGACTCACATGGGTTATTACAACGTATACATTTTAAAACTGTTGTCGTTATGGCGGAAAAAGTAATCCTATCAAATTAGATTCCTGCACACTGACATCAATTATTTTCTTGTTTGGGCCAGTTTGGGCGGACATTTTTTGACGTCATCAACTACGTTCAATATAACTCAATAATTATGGGGCATTAGTTGCATTCGCGACAGATTGAGTGTCTGCGCGGATAACCAGCATCTATTCAGTGGCTAACGCTCACTAGGTAGGGTTAGTTCAAAAACTAAAGGTCCCCGACATTTAGGGGTTCAATCAGCCACGGCCTATCGCCCAGAAAATCAGAGAACATAAAAAATGGAGGTTAAGAATCAATGACAATGGGAAAATGAAAAATTAATAATGCTAAATAATAAAGTCTCCATCGACAACGGTAGCTGATTTTTTTATTCCATTTCAAATATAACAAAAGTTATTCTTATTAGTTATTAACACGGAATTTTCCAGAACATTCTATAAATATTCAATATAAATATAATATCTCAGTCAAACAATGATAACAGTTAAATAGGGGCCCCCACACCAAATATGCCTGAGCGCCTCCTCTTCCTTCGTTACGCCACTACATCTATTTCATCTACCAGCAAAGGTTTATTTTGGTTTTGGGGTCAGAATCCTACTTGTAACTTCTTTTGTACAGAAAAACATAGTTAATTACCTCTTTGAAAGAAGGGGCATTGCAGCGTGGAAATCTTCTACATGCTCCAACCAACCACTGTGGCATCAAAATCAAGAGCGGGCGAGAAGGCGCATCTTCGAAGGAATATCTACCGTTGTTTTATGTTTTCATTTGATATTTTCTGTTCCGATTGCGAAAATCCATTTTCTTTCTGACAATGAGGTGATATACATTTCCATCTGCCACATTAAAACAGTGACGAAAGAAAATTAGAGGACACTCTGGGGGTTATTTTGAATGAACTGCTAGGGAAGATGAGTATGCAATACATCCATTATACGAAGTGAACTCAACAAGCCACGTAATTCGTAACCCTATACGATATAGAACGGACACGGGAGCAATTTAGGAGTTGAAGTGGAACAGGTTTAAAGCTTATAAAAAGATATATTTCGAAAGCAAATTTATTGATAATTTAATTAACAAGTACTTTTGATAATATGAAGTTAGTTAATATTTTTAAATAATAAATATAATTATTTTATGAACTATATTGCCGTGATATCCTGTTTTCCCTAATGCATTAGGAAGGATCTGTTGTATTCCAATCATTTACATAATACATTAACATAAACATTATACATATTAATGATATACTGTTAAATTTTTTTTATGGCAAACAATTGTGGGCTTTAAATCCACAGTGGGAGGTTTTCCGTTATAGAACTGTTTCCTGTCCAATCAGATATAGACATGTTTCAATATATGTATTAATATCATAATTCGCTCTTTTTATTACTTATTTTATAGGTTTTACTATGATGATTTTGGAGTTTGTAGCAACGTTGTTCATTGTCTGGTTTCTCTGGTATTTTGTGACAACATACTTGGAGCGAAGATCAATGCCACCAGGACCGTTTCCCTACCCGTTCATTGGTAATCTACTCCACTTAGATTCTTCTAACACTAAACCATTTAAAACTCTCAGAAAGAAATATGGAGACATCTTCACCGTAACGTTTGCTATAGGAAACACTGTTGTCGTGAACACAGCCTCACTTGCTCGGAAGCTAAACTTGACAATAAAGACGATGTGGTTGGTAGGTCACCTAAAACAATTTATCCTTTAAATATAATAATGGGTCCAAATAATCTTGTAGTCTCAGATTATGGTACGCCTTACTTGTTTCGTAAGAGAGTATTTAAGTCAGCAATGCATGTTTTTTGGAGCAGGGATCAATGAAACTGAAGAACGAGGAGGACATGCAGTAAATTCTATGTTAGAAAAGATAAATTGTTTAAAAGATCAGCCGTTTTCTCCCAAGAAACTAATCGAATCTGCCATACTCATTCAACTTTGGCAATGGCTTACGTCTCAGAAAGTGTCATTGGAAGAACCGGTATTAAAGCTCCTTCTCGAATTTAATAAAATAATTGCAAAGCAGCGTCTTGAGCGTTCATTCATCTACCAAAAGATACCGTTCCATTTCTACCTTCCAATAGAACATAATCGAAATATAAGGCGAGCAAAAGATATAAAACATTTGATTTTCTCACCGGTGTTCCAAAACCATCTGAAAACCTACACCCCTGGCGTTATTCGTGACATGATTGACAGTTTTATCAGTGCTTATGTGAAGGAGATGGCAAAAGAGACTGGCAAAGATATTGGATCTATAGATGATATCCCAGATTTAATGTTGAGTGTTACCTTTGGTGGTTCAGATACAACCTCTACTTCAATAGCTTGGTTTATATTGTACATGGTTTTATATCCTAATGTTCAAGAACAAATTCATGATGAACTTGATCAAGTCATAGGTAAAGAATATTTACCTCGATGGCAAGATGTGCAGAACATGCCCTACCTGCAAGCTACGATATGTGAAGTTATGCGTAGGTCTAGTCCACTACCAATAGCTGGTTCAAATGCAATACGCGACACAACTCTTGCTGGATACCATATACCTAAAGGAACGCTAGTGCTTCTCGACATAACCCAAATTCATCACGACAAACACGAGTGGCCGGAGCCTGAGGAATTTAAACCTGAGCGTTTCCTGGACATCGAAGGGAAGTTTGTTGGTTGGAACAAACTTAACGCTTTTATGCCATTTGGACTCGGTCGTAGAGAATGCGTTGGCACTGCATTCGCAAAAATCATGTTGTTTACATTTGCAGCGACATTATTACATTGCCTTAGGTTTGAGTTACCAGAGGGATCTAAGAAGCCGAGTGAAGAACCATCAAGAATTCAACTAGTTTCTTCTCCAACAGAATTCCAAGTTGTAGCAAGAAAACGACGGTGAAGAAAGAAACATCGACAACACCTACTCGCTCTGACATACAATAAAGGAAATATACTGCAAGATACAGTTTTACACGTAGAGAATTAGTACTATCTTTCAATAATACTATTGTTAAATTGCTGTCAGTATATGGCATAACATTCAACAGCATTTTTCTTACATGATTATATTTACTTCTCAAATTCATTAATAATTCATGAGTAATTCAGCCAATGATGATCATCTATTTGATCACAAGATGCCATTTGGACACTTGATGAAAGTCACTAGTGTTTTCATCAAATATCTTAAATTACGCATGCAAAATTACTTGAATAGAATTCCTAATTGCGTTATGCTTGGTTAAGAATTCTATTCAAATCAGCAAACGAAAACATTCTGTTACGTCTCGATTCATTTGAGAAGCCATGTAAACAACTCGAGCTCGTGTCTCACCGGGATATCCAAACACTCGAAAACAATGTATGATATCCCGGTGAAACACTCGCTCTCGTTGTTCATATATTACTTGAAAAGCTGCCAACTTTCAGTTTATCACTTTCAGACTTAGAAGCCTCAGAAAAAGTTCCATATTTTCCATAGGCTTTTTCGTAATTAAAATCCATCAAGTCTAGTTAATTTTGATCAGATTTTGTGAAACAATATATTTTTTCCAACGCAAGCCAAACATTTCCGTTCAAATCAGCAAAACCATTTTCGTAATCTGGCCATCAGCGATAAAAATCCACACTTGCGTGTACTCTTTTTTAAAACACTGTCCACACGGTGACTTGATTCCAGGTCATCTGGATTGATTGCATGCATATAGCTTGCGAGCAGGCTCTCTGGGTGAAAGAGAGCCTGCAAAGAACCCTATGATGTTTACGTGCATGCGTCCAATATTTGGACGCAGAGCTCTGACTGGTTGATAACTGACTCAAATGAAGTGATTGACAAGCTTCCATAAACTACACTTCTCGTTTGTAAAACCGAGCAACGCAAAGCTTCGGAATTGCGGCAATGTGGAGATAGAAGTGTCATGTATTTTGTATCCTTGTTGACTTTTTACAGTAAAATAATACAGTATTCATATAAAGACGAATACTAAAAGCTTGCATGCTTTATTGTGTCCTGGGCTTGGCTGACTTCTAGGCTATTAAGAAAAGACTGAACAAATTCGGCGCAGACCGAGACAAGGCATATATATATATATTCGCTAGGGACAAGGCATTTATATATCGCTTCCCTTTCATGAAACAATATTGAGAATTATTCTGATAATATTCAGTGCATATTGTTTGTATTAAGCTTGTTTTACAATGTTATACTGACTTAAAATGTACAGTAATTTACTCGTCACTTTGTTTACAATAATTATCGCATGTTTAATACTGTAATTCCATTTTGCAAAATTTGAACTATAAACATATTAAATTATGTCCAATGTCCATGGTATATCATATTATACTATACTATATATATATATATATATATATATATATATATATATATATATATATATATATATATATATATATATATATATATATATATTTATTGCAGTTATATTATTACTATACTGGATATATATATTTATTGCAGCATGAAGCAATTCCAAACAACTCAATTAGTTAGCGGATATTAAATATATACAACTTTAAACTTACTGTGCCTACAGAAACACATGCAGATTGTAATAAAAAGTACAACTTGATATATTACACTGTAAAATCTCAAGCCGTTTTAACTTTTTTTAGTATGCCCCAGTGGCGGTCTGTATACGAAACTAACGAAAGAATACAATATAAATGGAGTTCAACGTTTATCGGTTTATGTTTACAATATTTAAGCGTATTTCTGGTCTGCGCTGATTGGTTGATATTAATTGACCTGTGACATCCTAATTGAAAGGCGGCACATAAACATCATAGGGATCCTTGCAGGCTCTCTTTCACCCAGAGAGCCTGCTCGCAGGCTAGCATACATATGCCATTATATCCAATTTGCAGTTGGAAAGCGTTTTATATTACTATTTTCGTTCCTTCGCGAGCAGGATGGAATTTATCCAGAAAAATATCAGACAGTTGAACGTCGAGTTCATAGAGAAAAACGTAACAGACCATACGTCAAATATAGCAAGACTTATCTATTGTGAAAAGGCCTGTTCGATATCAAACGCGTAGTAGCCTAATATATAATTCGTGGAAAAGAGCAGACAAAAAAACCCAGCCAACTGCCAAGGAACATGTCGAAATGTTTTTGAAATTCTAATTGCGTCTTTTTCTTTCCTGATTACTGGAGGTTGGCGTACTAGTTGGAGAAATCCTTTCATCTGTGCGTTTTGATTTGGCGATGAGAAACATTTTGTAGTTTAATTAAGCAAATGAATATGAATAAGAGGAACGAAACAAACACAACAATAAGAATTTTACTTTTTCCCCCGTAAAATTATACCAATGGCAACAAACTGACTGTTGTGGTCATCAAAACTGCCTGAAAAAGTACAAGTCTTCCTTTCGTAACTGCGGTTTGATGGAAAAATGGATCGGTTAGGGCCAGGAATCGTTAATGGCGCAAGAGGATACTTACATGCATGCATGTGATTTTTGATGCGATTCCACAGTTCAGTGAGCCTAGTTTCGTAATATTATTAATTAATAATGATACTATACTACCCCGCCAGGATTGCTTACCTGTTGAGGATTTTGTAGCAATTCATATAGCCGATATTTTTCCTCTTTCTCCATTCATATCAATATTCTTGCGAAGAATTTATGCAATTATTTCGAAATAAGTTTATTATTTTGATTATTTTACACTTGTTACTGACAGTAGTTGAGCCCCTGTTCTTGAATGCATAAATTTAACTACCCGTTTTGTAGTTAAAAATGGTAGATAACTTTAATCACGAAGTTACGTCGCTCGTATAAAAGCGTAACTGCAGTTAAAAAGTAAGTCAATTATAAAAAGAAACCTGGGAATTTTCAATCGTTATCTTCCCTGTGAATATTTCCTGACACCGAGTTTGTAACTGACTCTTCGCATAGTCTTTCAAAACATGGTTTGGAAACTCCGCTAAAGTCTTTGTGCACGGTGCACGGTCAATGAACACATTGTATTTCAGTCTAGGAATCATCCAATAGCAACGTTTCAGTTCAGTCATTCAACCATGCTATTTAAATATTAATAAAGCTAAAACAAAGGATGTGCACGGTGTAAGGTACGGCTCAACATAAACACACAGCTCATTATAACCGCTTTGAAGTTTACTGAGTTTCCATACCATGTCTCGAAAGACTATGCTCTTCGCTAATGTGTCAACACATGGCTTCGAAAAACCAAAGGACTTCGAAACGAAGGGCGATCGCGAAAAAAAACTACAGTCAACAAGTTGAAGGATTATGGTAGAAGAAAATTTCGAGGGTAAGCATGCATTGTTGGAACTAACTATAGGATATAGGAGCAGCTTCGGTGCAGACTGCAGTGCTCTATAGCAACAAGTTCGAATTCATGTATATAAATTTATATAATGCTAATAAGGTGATGCCAATGTGAAGTGCATGTGTAAATACAAGAATTTTCCGTGGCAATCAAATTCCCAAATGCTGGATTTGGAACTTCGAAGTAAGATAGTAAAAGGCCGGCTGAAAATGCAAAAACGGTATACACTTTTTAATTTTTTTCTTAAATGTGAAAGGAAAAAAAATCAAATAATTCAGTATAATAAGACGTATAGGAATAGGAGGAACTTGACTAAAGTTGAGTTTTTTTTGTATGTCCCCCCTCAAATGTGTGGAAAAATAGTGATCCCCCTTGCCTGGGTGGAAAAATTAATAACCCCCCCTCCCTATTACCTCAAATGCAGTAATTAAACGGTATACAAAATATCAACAGCAAGTAAAATCCAACATTTAATCATATAATGCTTACAAACATGGTGACTGATTAGTTGCTACAAAATCGGCGGTTTCATAGCAAAATAAATTGAATATTTAGAATAATCCAAGTTTTCAACACAAACTACAACACAGTTGTTCTGTTTTACACTTTATTTCTTAATATTAAAGGTAAGCTGGAGGGTTTTATCACCACAAGTATTGTTTAGTTGTTGATTTCAAAATTTATCTCAAAATTTTAATACCCCCCCCCCCTTGTCTACTCTCAAATATTTAGTATCCCCCCTTTTGATGCTGTGAAAATTTTATATCCCCCCCCCGATTTTCCTCCTACCCACCCCTTAAAATTTTTAATGACCGCAGCCTAAGGAAATATTTACAAAGCGACATAAATGGTTTGGAGACAAGTAAAATGTTCACAGTAAAAATGTTCACATTCCTATGTCACACTTGCTTTAACTGATAACCTCATCATAATTATTTGTACTATAATATAGAATAAATGATTAAATCCTATTTAAAATTCATGGTCTGTTAGATGTAAAATCCTCTGTGATCATGCAATAGTCTATTATTACATTCCAATTATGATTATATTCAGTTAAGATTAAAATTGCAATTATTCTAGTGATTTAAAACTCATTTACTATTGCATCAGTTTAATTTACTATCAGCTAAACGCGAAAGCGTCGGATTGACAAGGATACAACTACATGAAAAAGACAAGCAGAACTTCGGATTGATAGGGATGAAACAACATGAAAAAGACAAGCAAAACTTCGGATAGATAGGGATGAAACAACATGAAAAAGACAAGGAGAACTTCGGATTGATAGGAATGAAACAAATGAAAAAGACAAGAAGAACTTTGAATTGATAGAGATGAAACAAATGAAAAAGACAAGAAGAACTTTGAATTGATAGGACTGAAACAAATGAAAAAGACAAGGAGAACTTTGGATTGATAGGACTGAAACAAATGAAAAAGACAAGAAGAACTTTGAATTGATAGAGATGAAACAAATGAAAAAGACAAGAAGAACTTTGAATTGATAGGACTGAAACAAATGAAAAAGACAAGGAGAACTTCGGATTGATAGGACTGAAACAAATGAAAAAGACAAGAAGAACTTTGAATTGATAGGACTGAAACAACATGAAAAAGACAAGAAGAACTTTGAATTGATAGGACTGAAACAACATGAAAAAGACAAGAAGAACTTTGGATTGATAGAGATGAAACAACATGAAAAAGACAAGAAGAACTTCGGATTGATAAGACTGAAACAACATGAAAAAGACAAGCAAAACTTTGGATTGATAGAGATGAAACAACATGAAAAAGACAAGAAGAACTTTGAATTGATAGAGATGAAACAACATAAAAAAGACAAGAAGAACTTTGGATTGATAGGAATGAAACAACATGAAAAAGACAAGAAGAACTTTGGATTGATAGGGATGAAACAACATGAAAAAGACAAGAAGAATTTTGAATTGATAGGGATGAAACAACATGAAAAAGACAAGAAGAACTTTGGATTGATAGAGATGAAACAACATGAAAAAGACAAGGAGAACTTTGGATTGATAGGGATGAAACAACATGAAAAAGACAAGAAGAACTTTGGATTGATAGGACTGAAACAAATGAAAAATACAAGAAGAACTTTGGATTGATAGAGATGAAACAACATGAAAAAGACAAGAAGAACTTTGGATTGATAGGACTGAAACAACATGAAAAAGACAAGAAGAACTTCGGATAGATAGGACTGAAACAAATGAAAAAGACAAGAAGAACTTTGGATTGATAGAGATGAAACAACATGAAAAAGACAAGAAGAACTTTGGATTGATAGAGATGAAACAAATGAAAAAGACAACGAGAACTTCGGATTGTTAGGGATGAAACAACATGAAAAAGACAAGGAGAACTTTGGATTGATAGGGATGAAACAACATGAAAAAGACAAGGAGAACTTTGGATTGATAGGGATGAAACAACATGAAAAAGACAAGGAGAACTTTGGATTGGTAGGGATGAAACAACATGAAAAAGGCAAGGAGAACTTTGGATTGATAGAGATGAAACAACATGAAAAAGACAAGGAGAACTTTGGATTGATAGGGATGCAACTACATGAAAAAGACAAGAAATTCAGTTTGCATGGTATAGGGGTACAACTATATTTATCAATCCACAGCTTTCTTATTATTGGCACTATAACTACAGTGACGCATACCGTTCAAGATCATAACCAGTGGCGCCGTGGCCGGGGGGGGGATCATAACAGCTAAACACCCATTAGGCATTATAATAAAAAGAGTGTTTTGCGAAACAAAGTGCCATTGCACAGTGTATGTATATTATGTAATATAGCCAAAAAAATTTGCTTCTCAAAACCTATGTTGCACAAAGCAATTTTTTGGCAACTTGTAATAGATTTTTTCCGTGAAAAATAATCGATTATTTTTTGGCTTTTCATTACGAAAGAATTAAAGATGGGTCGGGCTATATTTGATCCTAGTCCTTGCTTGAAATTTGTAATTAGCCAATTCAGAGTTTCAAATGCGCATGCATCCAAATGACGTGTCCTGCGTCGTCCGGATAAATTGAAGTTGAATCATAAAATGTAGCTGGACAGGAAGAATAAGATATGCATGTCATATTATTCCGTTGTTAAATCATTATTTGTGTTTCACTAATATCCACAATTCTTTGTTTGCAATCACGTGACTATTCATACAAATGACGGGCAATCAAACAACTTGTGGACGATTTGTTCCTATCTGGTTGGTTGTACCGTTGTAGCAAGAAAAACTGAACGGTAATTCATCTTTCGAGTCTTAAACTGTCTCTTAACTCGATCAATACATTAAAATAGCCGTTTTTTGTTATACCTGCCCGTCAACTGAAATCCAAAATTACGTCATTGTAAACAAAGAATAGAACTGTCCATTAAATTATTTTTATCCCAGCATATCAAATAATTATATTTTTGTCTTCTGTGTATAGCAAAATAAAGAAATGGGAATATCTTTTTGCAATTTAAAGCGAACAACCGTACGGAAACTAATTGTTCTTTGAGCAACTTTTTGAATATTAATTCAAATGATGATTGGACAGTTGAATACTTTGATGTGCATTCTAATTATTTCAGTCTCAGCTACATGCATGCAATTAATACTTCAACTGCAATTTATAATTATCCAAGACGCAGAACGCGTCGCTTGTATGCCGCGCAGCGCTAGTGAAAACTCAGAATTGGCTTATAAGGCGTGGTTGCGTTGAAATTCGCTTCAAAAATTGTCTCGTGTACCCGTGGCCACATGCAAGAGATCAAGTTTAAGGATATTTCAGAAACAATCTTACCAGTGGCGTAACGTTATATCAGGGGCCCCCGGTTCAAAATTTTCGAAGGCCCCTAGTAGAAGTGCCAAAGGCACTAGTTAAGCGCCGTATATGCAAAGGTTTTCTAGGGGTCCGGGCATGGTCACCCGGAAAATTTTTGAATCTAGACTCTCTGAAATGCCATTTCCCAGACTTTGGGGAGAGATTTTACAGAATTCTGACGGTCAGAAAACGACTTTGTGACATATCAGAGGCCCTGACCAATGTTTTTGCTCTACAGCTTGAGCCTTGGGGCCCCATTTGGCCCATTGGGGTTGGGGGCCCCCGGGTTCGCCCCGTCCGAGCCCATAGTAGCTACGCCACTGCATCTTACTACCTTCATTCCCTCACGACGCAAGATGGAATTTCTCCAAAAAAGTATCAGACAGTTGAACGTCGAGTTCATAGAGAGAAAACCGTAACAGACCATATACTAAATATCAAAACTTGTCTGTCGTAAAAAGGCTTCTTCGATGTCAAACGCGAAGCACAATATACAATCTGTGGCAAAGAGCAGATGAAAGAACAGTCAACCGCCAAGGACCATGTGGAAATGTTTTTGAAATTCAAATTGCGTCTTTTTCTTTCTTGATTACTGGAAGTTGGTCATACTAGTTGGAGAAACCCTTTCATCTGTGCGTTTTGACTTGGCGATGATAAACATTTTGTAGTTTAAGCAAATGAATACGAACAAGAGGAATGAAGCAAGCACAGCTATAAGGATATTACTTGTTTTCCTATAAAAGTGTACCAGTAGGGACAAACTGACTGTTGTGGTCATCAAAAATGCCTGAATAAGTACAAGTCTTCTCTTCGTGACAGCGGTTTGATGGAAAAATGGATAGGTTAGGACCAGGATCCATTGCAGGTTGTCTGTCCTGTAGATCTTTCCTACTTTTCCTTTCATAGCTTGCTCTATCGCACAGTGAATAAGAATAAATGCGAAAACGTCTATTATTTAAAATTGTTATTTCGTTATTCTGTGTAAAAAGCACTCTCACACTTGCTTTTTATATAGTTATTTTAATATAAATAACGCAACATAAATTTACATGTTGTCCGTTTTATCTCAACTAACTTCCGATTGCCCTACACGTGTCTTTTTAATCGTCTCACCACGTGACAGCTCACGTGATTATAACAGAACCAATAATGTTATTAAAAGTAAATAAATGTGTAATGTAAAACGTCATGCACTAGATTAATGTTTTCTACATCCTCCCCAACCGGAAAGATTCGCTAACAGTTTAAATGTTTCGCTATGTATACTGTTCGCGAATTCTCCGCAAGTTTTCTCCATCGATCGCTGCCTTCCTCGTTGGTCTTCTACTTCCTTTTCGCTCATCCGCTCTTGACTCGGTCTCAGTCGTGTTATGCTGTTCTGCGTTCCTATCGTTGTCATCCCCTTCATGCTTGTCGACGTCATCCTGGACGATCTCGAAAGGTATTAGCTTTTGTAACGGTCTGTGAACCGACGACTAAGATCCACTCTTTGATAGAACCTTCAATTTAGCTCCCCTGACCAGTCCATCACGTCCTTTCACCAGCTGCAAGACTCTTCCAATCCTCCACTGTGCCCGAGGTGCTGGTTCATCCTCTTTAATCAAAACAACATCACCAACGGTCAGACCTCGCGTATTGGTTTTCCTTTTCCGGTAGAGGTTCATTTGTCTCAGCTCGTTCAAATATTCCCTTCGAAACCGCGTCCAACAATCTCTCAATATTTTCCGTAAGTGTTTCAACCGCTGTTTGTACTGTCCAAGGCTCGCCGTAAGTATGGTATCCGTGTTTTTCATCCGATTGCAGTAGCCTCGCCCGTACATCAGGTGGAATGG